CCGCCCCGCCGGCTAGAGGGGGGGGGGGGGGGGGGGCCCTGTGGTAACCAGCCCTCAGATCCCACCCTGACCTTGCTTTACAACGGCCCCTTTTGCTGCCTGCATGGACCCAGGCCAGCCCCTCGGGGCCCTGCCGCGCCTGCGAGCGCAGCCAGGCAAGCAGCGCGCCTTCCCCCTTGGGCGGGGGCCGCTTCTCGCCACGGCCTCAGCGGCGTCCTGGTGAAGCCCAGAGCGCAGGAGGCCAGACCTCGGCAGGCCCGTCGGGGGAGTCGATTCCAGCCCACCCCCCCTTTTGCTGCCTGCATGGACCCAGGCCAGCCCCTCGGGGCCCTGCCGCGCCTGCGAGCGCAGCCAGGCAAGCAGCGCGCCTTCCCCCTTGGGCGGGGGCCGCTTCTCGCCACGGCCTCAGCGGCGTCCTGGTGAAGCCCAGAGCGCAGGAGGCCAGACCTCGGCAGGCCCGTCGGGGGAGTCGATTCCAGCCCACCCCTGCTTTTCACGTGCTCGCCGGGCAGGCTGAGCCACCCCAGAATCCGCCTGCGCGGTCACTGTGCCAGCGGGCCCTGCCTGCTGCCCCGGAGCCGGTCCCGGCTTTGCCAGGGAGCCAAGGGGCAGGCAAGGGCCCCCCCGGGTGCCCTGGGTTCATCTCGGCCCTGCGTGGCACTAGAGCCCCCTGCCAGGCGCAGTTCCTGCCCCATGGGCGGGTGGGGCCGTGTGTGGCTGGGCCCGAGGGGGAGAATTCGGCCCTCTGGGGGAGGGCTTGGCGTGGCCTCATCTCCTCATGCCGAGAGCAGACTCCTGGTTGGCGCCTGCCAGCCGTCCCTGCCCCCAGAAGCACAGGCGGAGCGCAGGGCCAGGGGCTCGGAGCCCAGCCCGGTCCGGGACACACACAGCACCCTTAGAGCCAGGCAGGGGCTAGTGGAGTCGAGGAACCGACAAACAAAAGCTTATCGGTTAATGCCGGAGACGACAGGCCTCCCCTCCCCTCCCCCACCAGCGAATGTTTGGCGGGCTTGGCACTAGCCCCCTCTTTTCCT